GAAATGTCGCATTCTCGCGTTCTCGCGATTTCTTGTCTTTGTGGCTTAATTTGACAAGTAGAGATTGCGAGATATTTCATCATGTCCAAATGTCGCATTCTCGCGTTGTCGACTTTTGACAAAAAGTGCTATGTATCAAAAACACGAGAATGCGAGATCGCGACCAAATCTCGCGTTCTCGCGATCTCGCATTCTCGTGTTTGAGACAAATTTAGTTCGTTTCCAAAGGTCGAGATCGTGAGAATGTCCCTTACAGCATAATTCAATAATTTTATGTGTTAAAACAAGTGTTAATATAAGTGATAGCCTTGAGGGAGTGAACTGAGACTAGGCCCAAGTCACTTTAGAGTGATCTCACTCAGCCTTGGCCCAAATCTAGAGTGATTTGAGTCGTTGGTTGAGTTGGTCTTCCTAGACGGGTGTTTGTGCAGTGAAGACGGCTGTAATGTTTTGTTGTTGGTATGGTTGATATCGAAAAATGGCACAAAATGTTACTAGGCCTGATAACTGATTTTAGAACCAACCCAAACAATACATTCTTCCAAATCAACCTACACAACATTCTGCAATTCGGATCGGACCCCGAACTGTCTTCTACGACGTCCGCGCGCTACATTAACGCTGATCCATACACACTAACTCTTTTATCAAACTCCAAGCCAAGGGCCACTTCACTCATGCTCCCACCGCCACAACATTGCCAACACCTCATACTTGGCCCAACTTTGTTAAATAAGATTTAGGTTTGACCCAATTTTTCTGTATTTCATAGGCTTTACAGTTAACTATCAGCTTAACTGATACATGTTATTTAACCTCAACTTATGCTCTACTACTTAGATATTACACAGTTTGACAATTACATATGGGTCCTGTCAAAAGTTTTCATGTTTCAAATTAAACAGTCAAAATACAATGTGTTCCTTATGACGTGATTAGTATGTCTTGTAGTGTATGTTGATTGATTTTTTAGTTATTTGTTTTACCATTATTAACCTTTTCATTTCAATTGTCTTTTTTCTCATTTTTTGTCTTACGTTTTACCTTTAACATTATTTTTTTTATTTATTTAGCCTCTAATTTGTTTATCATAGCATACATATCTTAACCCATAACTAGCTTTTTTAATCCCAAATTTACATTTTGTGCCGGCAGCGGTGGTTTATACCTAATTGCTCCATATATCGTAACAAAATTTACCCCCACATGATCGCGACTGCGAAATAGATCAAATCTGAAGTGGTCGTAAAGCCCCAAACGACTGACTGTGTTCATGAAGAGTGCAATATGTTAGCAGGTGCAGGTGGAACGGTAATGATAATGTGTATTACTTACATGTATTAGAACTCCACTTATATGTTATCCAAGATTCCCAAAAGCAAACAAATGCTTTGACGTATTTTCAAGAACAACTTTGTTGTGAGAGAAGAAATGAGTCCTTTTGCTGTTCCTACATAAACTATTGACATAATGCATGATGGCTTTCCCTACTTGAATAAACCCTTGAAATTCTTGAAAGAAAATAACGTCACGACTTGCTAACGTGTAAAAGGAAATTATTGGGTTGGATTCATTATTATCACGATGTGGATGTTATCCTGTAAATAGACCGGTGAAGATCCGGGTAGAGAAAAGGTCTTCAGCAACCTATGCTTGTTGTAAGAGGCGACAAACTCGTCATTTACAGACCGCCGTCATATAGCTGCAATATTGCTGCGTGCGGCGTTACACCACAAACAAACAAATACTGTGAATAATGTGGTCAGCTGCTTATGTCAGCGATTCTTTATTAATTTATTTAAGCGCGTTCACAAAATATTAAAAGGTTGTCTAATCCTTACTTAAATTAAACTACCTCCTGTATTTGGGACGATTATATAAATGCATATTCTGTGTACAGTTTTGTTTGTTGTTGAACGGCGCACTCAGCAATATTTCAGCTATTTGACTGCGGTCTGCAAACAGTCAAGCCTGGACCATACAATCCAGTGATTGATATCATGAGCATCGATCTAAACAATTGGGATACGATGACATGCATCAACCAAGTCAGCGAACCTGGCTCCCCGATTCCGCACAGCGGGATCCGACACATCCATGCAGTTGAGTCGAAAAACAACACCACCGACTTTAAACACTCAACAGAAAAATCCCCAAGCTAGTAGTTGGCAAATGAAGTTTCCTACTGTGCGCTGTGCTTATCTAAACAGCCTTTGAAGCTGCCAGTAATGAACTGATGGCTGCAACGTAAGGCAAAACAATGGCAACATCCCCTAACGTCTTTGCTGTAAGCAGACAAAAAACAAGTATTGCAAAATGGACTCTGGCCTTCCAGATCGCGTTGTCTTGCAGTAGGCTACAAACGAATCCCACTAGGTGTTATAAAGCCTTCTTAGTAGACTTCCCGTGATCTCGCAAAATGGCTAGTGCCGCTCTTACAGAAAATCCTCTGGACGTTAACGCCTTCTGGAAATGTTTCACACATGCAGAGCCAGCCATTCTTATTAAAATCAAATCTAAGTTAAATCTAATATAAAGCCTTCTTAGTAGACTTCCCGTGATCTCGCAAAATGGCTAGTGCCGCTCTTACAGAAAATCCTCTGGACGTTAACGCCTTCTGGAAATGTTTCACACGTGCAGAGCCAGCCATTCTTATTAAAATCAAATCTAAGTTCTCGCTGCTGCTAAACAAAGATCTGAGGACATCCCATTACGGGTCACGTCAGAACGACCATTCGCGAACTTTGACCGACCACTGAAACGACAAACAAGAAGACGACATCAGCCAATTAGAAAGCAGCTTTCTTGAGCTTTACGGTACTCGTTTCAACTTGGCGACTTCCATTTTAGACTACGCTTGAACAATATGTTGACACAGTTCACGATGAAAATTTTGAAAACTAACAAACGAACATTCCGGAATGTCTAATATATGGTTGCGATTGTATGGCAGTGCTTCCAACGTTCTGTGCAACGCCTCCTCCGTTCAAATGTTTATCCCACGAAAGCGAGAGATAGACGATACTTTTGACGGAATCAGTCGGTCGGGCCGTAACTGTCGTTCGGAATACCCCGTGTTGACGTTTCCGATTGATTAGAAAAGACTTTCCGACTGTCACTTTCATGATCTGGTAAGCGACGCTTTGATTGGTCGGATGAAAGGTTGTTCTGACATGACCCGTAATGGGATGTCCTCAGATCTTTGTTTAGCGACAGCGAGAACAAGATCTGATTTTAATGAGACTGAGAGCCAGCGAAACGGGTCCTGGATGAATGTACTTTGTGAAGTGATTCACGAGTTGCTTCTTCCACAGAGGAAGTTTCATGACTGGGTTCCCTGCCATCTTTTACAGTTCTCCTGGGCCAATACGGCGCTACCAAAAGCAGTTGCCTTGTCTCCCCTAGTCTCTGGAGTACACGTTAGGGTAAAGTACTCTTGGTATAGTACTGCTGGCGCGGGGAAGAATACGCATGGAGATTTTCCCAGGATATGGCGAGAGCGTCCTGATCCCAAGCCAGTGGGTCGTGGAACGGGAGGCACATATAACTAGCTACTGGTGAATGTATCGTGTATCTATTCACCGTGTCCATTCAACCAGTGGTATATTTGTCCAGCGACCTTTTCAATTGGTAGCCTGTGACAAGACAATCTAAAATGTAAAAGTGGCTTGTGGTAGTTTTGGGGAACATTATCTAGGTAGAATTCTGTTCTAGTTCTGTTTAAATTCTGTTTGACACAACATCCAAAACAGGTCGGGATGAAGTTGCCATTTCGTCAGCGAGGACTGATGTGGTCTGGACAGCACAATGTTTGTGACGCCTAGGATGTGATGACCCCTAGCACCCAGTGACAGCTAACTACTTGCAGAACTGAAACGTTCGGTCCAACGGGTGACTGAAATGTGTAGACCTCTTCTTTAAATAATGAGCTACTGTGGAATTGTTGGAGATCAAGACTCCCTCAGGTGTTGTTTCCAGCGTATATTGCAAAAAGCATTGCCAAGAACTGTTGTTTCGGCATTTGTGCCAGACTGTCTTCCCACACTGTGGAGACTGATAAGTGGTCCATGTGGGCTCCTCAACTAATCAGTAAATCGTCCACAAAGGATGGTGTGTTGGTGCGGAGTTGCCTGTATCATCCACCATCTGAAGTAGCTTCTGAGAGTGGATGGTTGTGGAACTATGAAGTCTGATTGGTCCCTGCTGAACCATGGTTGGAAATAACACTGCAACGTCCGAAATTGAAGATGTCCTTCTTGCGTCCTGGGCTGACATCAACAGCCGCAGACATTGCATGATAGCCTGCCGAATCTACGATTGTATCCTCAGTCATCCTAGGTTGTGGGAAAAACGGGGCATGGGAAAGGTGAAGTGTTGAACTAGAACTCTGGACTCCAGTCGTTAAGGGTGCATTTCTATATGAAAGTGAAAGCTGACACCTGTTTTGCAGGAATGCTTCAGAATTGGTCACAGCCTGAATAACTTGCCAAGAATATCTCCCCTGGAACAGGAACAGGAATAAACGAGTTTTATGACAAGCATAGTCGGAGGTGACTCAATGTATAGCTGTTTGAAATTCTTTATATTGTGAGTCATTCACATGCTTTTGGGGATTCTTCTTGGTATCCAGGAATAATCTAGCGGGAGTTGTTCCAAAGTAATCACTCGCACCACTGGGATTGTGTCGAAAAATAAGTTGTGGCTGATAATAATTATGCTTAAGAATGTTGGAAGTAAAAGAATTTGCCTGTCACAAAAAATACATTGCTGCAAGGTGTTTTTCTTTAAAAAAGAAAAGAAAATCTGGTTATGTTGCTGTAGCGGAAAATATCTAATCTTGACACAAAATCCCCCCCGAATATCAAATGGTTGGTCCCCTTTGTCAACACCATAAATCACTAACGCCATTTGTCAAGTCTCACATTCCATCTCAAGATGCAGCAAGTTCAAAAGATGATGGTAACTATACACTGTCAACAAAAAGCCTGTAATCATGGTAATAGCGTGTGTAACATTTTTTTAATCAAATAAACGTCCATATTATAAATCAACAAATCGTATTCAGACAACAACACATCAGTAAAATACTGTAACAAAATAATTATCATTTAAGCATTCATGCTCATAGAAAAAAGGTACAAAATGTCGGCTGAAGTTCCAAACCCTTCATGTATATGACAGTTGTATAAACTTACTTCAATGATAGGCTTCTATTTAAGAACATGAATATTATTGTTTGTTTGTTTCTTGTTTAACGCAGCACTCAGCAATATTCCAGCTATATGACGGCGGTCTGTAAATAATCGAGTCTGGACCAGACAATCCAGTGATTGACAACATGAGCATCGATCCACGCAATTGGGATCGATGACATGCATCAACCAAGTCGGTGAGCCTGACCACCCGATCCCATCAGTGTGTTATTAGCATAGTTGCCTAACATTAATATTAAATAGAATAAAAATAGAATATCAAGAGAAGACACTTTACAAAATAAATTACTGACACTGCTGCTGCTGCATATGAATGGACACTATGTGTCCTTCACAGCGCTCTGTAACCTGAGATAGATCTTATTCATCCCTGAGAAGAGTGCTGGCAAGTACCTCTATATGTGAGCAGTCAGTGTTGAAAGCAGTATAGAACCGGAGGCAGCTATACTACTTAACATTTGCTAAGGACCACACCTTTGACTAAAGACGACTATTTTGATCCTTAGCATTTGAAGAGTAGTATACTATCAGTTAAAACACTCAGTGAAGGCATTCTAAGGCACATGTACTCATTTCAATTGGCAAGGCTCGATTTAAGAAACATGATTTAACTTGCACCAGGTGCATGTTCACATGAAAACCTATTTGCAGCAGACAAAACCAGGTTTCACCCTGATACCAAAAATATATCCAAGTTGAAACATGAACACCTAAACTTGAAGTACCCACTGTTTGATGACATCAAGCCCCAAAAAGCATGACAAATTCCACGTAACACAGGGACTGCTGATACGGTGGATACATAAAGCTGAGAGGTATTCAATGTGTTCAAAGATCAATGTTGTGTGGAGAAGTATGGGTTAAACTCCATTTTGAAACATTATGACATGCACTAGGAGCATGCAGACATATAGGGCCCTGATTGGGAAGGTGTTGATGGAAAACGTTACTGCTAGTTCCATATGTATGCTTCATATCACCTTAACAGGAGACTGTGGATACACCATTTGGAACAAGAGTCATCTGGAGATGACATATCCCCGGTCTGGTGCAATTCAAAAATGGAGTTTGGCAACTTTAACCCAATTTTGGGTTCATAGCCAATGGATACCTTCAGTTCAGTGAAGAAAAGAATAATGTTCTTCAGTATTTTTCAAAATCACAAATCATCAAAAGGCACCAGTCCACCACTAGACTGATCTCTATGACAAATTTCATCTAGAAATATCACCTGAATAAGAAGCATTGGATACATCATTTTGAATAAAACCAGTAAAACCTATCTCTCACAACAGCGTGTACTCTATTCCATGAAAGATCATCATCTTTAAACAAACAAATCTTCAGGATGAATCCAAAAACCTGTTTCAGCAACTGTCTCGATATCACAGTCAATCCAATTGAGCTACAAACTGCATAGTAAGTGCAGGAATATTTTCTTCCATTTGATAAATAATACTTAAAAGACACCATCAACTATAAGAATATTGATAAAAATAAATAGCCAAAACACATTTATACATCTTAATCTTATCAGAATATCAAATGCATATAAACGTTCAATTCATGATATTATGAACTTGGAGAATTTCATTTAAGTGCTATTTATTTTCAGTTTCCTTCAACAGAATCATCTATTATTAACAATGTATTATAAATCTTCTAACAGAAAGAAATCATGTACAATTGTGTACCACACTTTTTCCATGCTATGTCCTAACTTCACACATCTACAGGAGAGACAGTACTGGTCAATTGCTTGTAGCCTTCACTTGAAAGGAGCTTGATGTCCCCGAGAAGGCTGTTATTGCCCCGAGGATGTTCTTGTGATCTCCAAAATGTTTGATGCGATATGTTCCTGGCTCCTGACTGGCTGGGATGTTCCAGGTGACCTCAGCCTCACTTTCACCCAGGATATAATTTGTGTGATGCCAGTAGAACCTGAAGTCAGAGAACATAGCAACGGTTCCATCATGATGAGCTGTCAACAACTAGTGAGTGAGTATTGTTTTACGCAATTACAATAGTATTGTGATAGATCAATACAGTATTGTAAAATAATTGTACTACTATTGCAGTAGCTCTGTGATAGAACAATATACCATTGGGATACTATTGGGGTAGTTGTACCACTGCAGCAATAGTATTGTGATAGGTGAAAAGACTATTGTACTGAAGCAACTGTACAACTGCAGTAGGTGTTGTTGAGTTCAGTGAAGCACCTCTGATTGTTGTCTGGTAAACATGTAAAGTTACTATTATTGTCTGACTGAAACATGGAAGGGCAAGTATTTACAAGAGGTACATGTTTTTATTCATGTATGTATGTGTATCAAAACTATTATTAGTCCAGCATGACTCCAGAATCGGTTATTAATACTTCCCTTGTCACTGATGTACTACTTTGGGGCTGTGTACAACTGTAATGTGTTGCTAGATGGGTCAGAAGTTACATCCCTATCAATAGCTCTCCCAATCACCCAATGGGGTGAGTGAGTGAGTAGGGTTTTACGCCGCTTTTACCAATATTCCAGCAATATCACAGCGGGGGCCACCAGAAATGGGCTTCACACATTGTACCCATGTCTGGAATAGAACCTGGGTCTTCAGCATGACGAGCGAACGCTTTAACCACAAGGCTACCCGACCGCCCCCATTGACCCAGTGGAAAAACAAGGCAAATTTTAGTACCACTAGCAAAATACAAGTCCCTTATAGCCAATATAGTTTCACTCCCAAGCCAGACATATAGTTCTAGGTAAAGTTATCAATGTGACAAGGCTCTGGAGAAGCCCACATAGAGTCTGTACACACTACAACGTCTTACATACCGGTGGGTGAGAAACCCATTTGAGATTATTGGTATCAAACATAGTGTGAGATCGAATTCCAGTTCTGTGATTGGCTACTCCATGGTGATGACCTAAGGTCAGATTATGACAGATTTTAATTCCTGATTGTAATTCATTGATAAGTTACTTGTGCCTCGGTCGAATTCACCTATGTCTGTGCTGAAAGTTTATAGTTTTAGAGTGTTAATGAATGTTCTTTGAACTTGTCTAGATTGCATTATCATCATCACTTTGATAATCCAGAGCAAGGAGGAGGGCAACACCAAGTTTGGGAAGTAAGCAGTAGGCCAGAACACATTACAAATGACCGTTGTGTTATGTATTAAATCACCACTGTGATCATGAGAATAGACAAAATAAGCTTTGATACTATGCTAAAACGGTGCAATGTTAGGGTGTGTAAGAAACAGATTACTGCACTGGTGCCTGTCAGATACCCGGGTAGTGATGTCTCAGTTCACACAAGAAACAAAGAGTCAGAGCTAGGTGACTTTGGCTGACAAAGTTGTTACTGAATGACTGGTATCAACATTGTACGGGCATCTTGCTGTTCACCTGGTGTGTCGGCTGGAGTCAGTGAAGATGACGTCCCACTCCGTCGCTGATCGCTGTCTCTCCACCGTCAGGAATGTCTCATCTCTCTGAATGGCAGGAAACACAGAATGCCCTGTCAAGTTTTCTTGACAATACAAGTGTTGCTTGAATACACAGGTTTTGTATGTAGATGAGTTATTAGCATAGTATTTCCCTTTATGGGAAAGCGATCTTAAATCCTCCATTTATACTTTTCATTCACAAAAGATGTGTTTGGAAACAACTTCTGTAATCACTGGAGGTGATTTGTTTGTTTGATAATGGTATTATGAGATTTTCAACAAGTCTGAATCAAATAGATCCAACGAACAAGGTGATAATGTGTTACCTTTAGAGCATTTCTTGGATCACCACTGATGAAGGATACCGTTACTGTCGAGTTCTGTCAAAGAAATAGTCAGTGCAGGTTGTATAGTGTAGATTGTTACCAAAATACAACCAATCGCTTGTAATAGGTTTTATTCATGCTATTCACATACATTATTTGTTTGGGGGACTTTCCAGTATCATTAAAACTAATCAATCATTACCACTGAAACTTGAACTCATTTCAAATCATAATTTACTTGGCATGGATTGCAAAATATGTAAAATTATCAGTAAGTAAAGAGACAATTAGAAGACAAACATATTGTGTTTTTAATGTAGAGCTAGGTGTCCTGCAGATTTAATCGTGCTAAAATGAATGTTGAACCGGGTTTGCAGCGTGAGGTTTCAAATGTTATATTTAGCACAGTTAAATTCATGGTAGACGTATGTGCAAGGCTTACAAAGTAATTTGTTTTTCCCAAAGCTGACTTCAAGATGCAGATATCATTATCATATATAAATTCTATGAAAATAAAAACATTAGAAATAGAAGTAAGGCTACTCTAAAAATTCAATTTATTGCTGTAATTGATATGAAAGCCTTATAGTCATTGCCTAGATCTCCCCTAACAGCCAATCAGTTGCCTAGATCTCCCCTAACAGCCAATCAGTTGCCTAGATCTCCCCTAACAGCCAATCAGATTGTGTATTTCTTGAGCCCATTGCCCAAACAATAATGGTGGTAAACATTGGTGGACCAAAAGAATGCAAATCAAGTTGATTTCAAACATTTTGATAATTCCTTTTGCCATTTCATCTTCTATTATGTGAAGTTACTTGAGTGTAACAACTGTGTCAGGTCCTCCAACCATGTCACAGAGTACAACTGTGTGACCGATAACTCTGTAACATCCGCTCTCCACACACTGAACATTGAGAACTACGTATACAAATAGTTTCTGTATCTGGGGAAACATACCAACAATCTTTACTTTCTTAAAATTCTAGATTGTTTCCCTTCACTAAAACAAATTTCTTTTTTTCCCATCCTGCATCTAGGCATTTCACTAAACACTTCCTGTAAATCAAGCAATAAAATTGGTCTGACCTAATGGTTTTTGTTCAAATGTAAACAGACTTGGGTGATGTGATACATACGCCATGACGTGTGACATACTGAAGGAGAACACACTGTCACCCACCTGCTTATACTCCTGCTGAACATCGACGACCACATCCCCGTATGTCGTGCCTGCTGGAGCTGCGTCAAAGATGACCGGCGGCAGGAAGGACAGTTGGCGGTCAAGCAGATTAGGGGGGTCAGGGCCAGGAGGGGAGGGTGTGCCCTGAATGGAAGGTTATCTTTCAGAGGAATGCTCGTAGAACTCATGAATGTAAGTAAAACAATCACCATAATAAATATTACTTTCTGGCACTGTTTTAAGGCATATAATTGCAATGTTGAATGTTTGTGGTAAAGACAGTGAGATCTTGAATAGCAATATGACTAACACTGTGTACCTTTGTCATCCAGCCAGCACTGGGTGCATGTATGACATAGCATATAATGTACCAATTCCCATCTTAGGTCATAATGATAGCTATTCATGATTCTATATTAAGTGTACATGCAATCAACCATTGTCTGTATTATGGGCCTATGGCCTTCTTACTGAATAAACTGTCTGTCTGTCTGTCTATTAAGTATACCAATTCCCATCTTAGGTCATAATGAAAGCTATTCATGATTCTATATTAAGTGTACCTGTTCCCATCTTAGGTCATAATGACAGCTATTCAAGATTCTATATTAAGTGTACCTGTTCCCATCTTAGGTCATAATGACAGCTATTCAAGATTCTATATAAAGTGTACCTGTTCCCATCTTAGGTCATAATGAAAGCTATTCATGATTCTATATTAAGTGTACCTGTTCCCACCTTAGGTCAGAATGAAAGCTATTCAAGATTCTATATTAAGTGTACCTGTTCCCATCTTAGGTCATAATGACAGCTATTCAAGATTCTATATTAAGTGTACCTGTTCCCATCTTAGGTCATAATGACAGCTATTCAAGATTCTATATTAAGTGTACCTGTTCCCATCTTAGGTCATAATGACAGCTATTCAAGATTCTATATTAAGTGTACCTGTTCCCATCTTAGGTCATAATGAAAGCTATTCAAGATTCTATATTAAGTGTACCTGTTCCCATCTTAGGTCATAATGAAAGCTATTCATGATTCTATATTAAGTGTACCTGTTCCCATCTTAGGTCATAATGACAGCTATTCATGATTCTATATTAAGTGTACCTGTTCCCATCTTAGGTCATAATGAAAGCTATTCAAGATTCTATATTAAGTGTACCTGTTCCCATCTTAGGTCATAATGACAGCTATTCATGATTCTATATTAAGTGTACCTGTTCCCATCTTAGGTCATAATGAAAGCTATTCAAGATTCTATATTAAGTGTACCTGTTCCCATCTTAGGTCATAATGAAAGCTATTCAAGATTCTATATTAAGTGTACCTGTTCCCATCTTAGATCAATGATGATAGTCATGATTCTATATTACCTACTTAATGTGAACATGTAAGAAATTGTCATTAAAATGTCAGCTGTTTGATATACTCATCTGGTGCACAAGCAGGAGCACGTACTGGCCCATGGCTCTTCTGACTTGCAAGGTAGGGAAGAACAACATGAACAACACTCTACTTGCAGCACATACAAGAGAGAATCTTGTGTTGAAAATAGCAACTCACTTTGGTCATATCCTGTGCTAGTCCTACTAGGGTCTGTATGTATGCCTGTAGAGTGTGAGGCCCGTATGTAGTGGATGCTCCCTCATAGCGCTGGACCTGCAGCATGGCAACAGACAGTCACACTGGGACAAACAACATGTCTCTCTCTACAGATTGCCCTGTGATGCATGTGGCAGACACATCTAGCTCAGCACACTGTATTCATCTAGGAACATAGGAACTTAACGATTTTGGTAGAATGGCACTACAAAGAGTGAAACACATTATTTGGCTTCCAATGGGGTTCTGTCTAAACTGATACTAATGACAATCAAAGATTTGAAACTTAAAAATGTTCAAGATCATTGTCTAAAATGTGCGTGCGTGCTTGCGTGCGTGCGTGCGTGCGTGCGTGCGTGCGTGCATGCGTTTTGGATAGTTGTTGCCACCAATCAGAATCAAGCCTTCTACAATATCAGGGTAAAATATACTTTGAGGGAATGACAATTGTACATGCATTTCATGCAAAACATGATATTTTGAAAAGTAAGAGCAAGAACTCTGTTCATAACCATGATAACATCATTAAGAAAAAAAGGCATTATGCCTTTAACCTTGAGTACTTTGCATTGCTTGTGAAGGCAGCACCTGTATAACCCCAAATTGTACTTGGTATTTGAAGTTGATTAATACGAAATAAAAGAGATGAAATCCAGCCAACCTGATATTCCTCAAAAGTAGCCACATAATCAGCATAGGTGTTGGACAGTCCAGCTATTATTGGCACTGTGTCTTGAGGGAAGCCACCGGATACCAGAGTCTGAAAGGAGAAAACACAGAATGCTGGACCTCAAATCTAAAATGTCAGACCTCAGTGTGTCAAATCTCAGTTTGTCAGATGTCAGTATATTAGATTTCAGTTTGTTAGACCCGAGTTCGTTAGATGTTGGTTGGTTGGTTGGTTGGTTGGTTTGTTGTTTTAGGCCTCACTCAGAAATATTCCAGCTATATGACGGCGGTCTGTAAATAATCGAGTCTTGGCCAGATAATCCAATGATTGATATCATGAGCATCGATCCACGCAATTAGGATACGATGACATGCATCAACCACATGACCGAGACTGACCACCCGATCCCGTTAGTCGCTTCTTACGACAAGCATAGTCGCCTTTTACGGCAAGTATCGGTTGCTGAAGACCTATTCTACCCCGGATCTTCACGGGTCTTGTTAGATCTCAGTTTGTTGGACCTCAGTTTGTCAGACGTCAGTATATAAGATTTCAGTTTGTTAGACCCGAGTTCGTTAGATGTCAGTTTGTAAGACCTAAGTTTGTTAGACCAAAGTTTGTCAGATGTCAGTTTGTTAGACCGAAGTTTGTTCGATGTCAGTTCGTTAGATCAAAGTTTGTCATATGCCAGTTCATTAGTCCAAAGTTTGTCAGATGTCAGTTTGTCAGACCTAAGTTTGTCAGATGTCAGTTCATTAGACTGAAGTTTGTCAGATGTCAGTTTGTTAGACCTAAGTTTGTGAAACATCAGTTTGTTAGACCTAAGTTTGTCAAATGTCACTGTATTTCAGCTGAAACCGAAACTCTTTATACTTGACACACTGTTTGAGACGATAAATGGAGATTCTCACCCAAGTGTCATTTGAAATGAAATATATACCAACATGAGTAAAAAAAAGGTATTTCTATGGAAAGTTGTGGTCTTGCACTCATTCACAACCTCACTAACTTAACAGTTTGGAACTTGGACTGTGATGTCTTAGTGTTCGTGAAGTGAAATGATTTGATTTGTTTTAAAGTAAAGGCAGTCCAAACTAGTGGGTTGTTGATTGAGAAGTTCTGAGCCTAACATTGAAGGATTTGTGTAGTAGTGAAATGTTTTGTTGTGGATATTACATGATGTCACAGAGGTATATCCACAACAACTAATAAATAAATAATTAAACAAATAGTTTCCCTGTGACAAGTCAGTCAACAAGCTGAACCAAGGTTCTTGCAACAGTTTGTGACTATGGATAAAACCTGGGTTCACCACTTAAAGACTGAGTAAAAAAACAATCAAAACAGTGGAAACATTTGACATCACCGTCAGAAAAGAAGAGAAAAACTGTCCCATCAGCTGGAAAGGTTATGGCCTCTGTGTTATGGGATGTGGAGGTTGGCGTCACGGTGGACTATCTTCCAAATGGCCAGACAATAACTGGAGCATATTATGCTGCATTTTTTGTAGCAGTTAGGGCAAGCAGTTAGAAAATGAGAACAGTGGTGCTCTTCCATCTGGAACTAAGGTCAATATCAACACTGTGTTGTCTTGAACTATGGACAACTTCCCCATGACTTGAGTTAAGGAAGCTCCACTGTATTAGCAAAGATTAGGATATATACTGCTGCAACAGCATCACAATACTTCTCTATACCAACATGTCAGTTTAAAATAAAAACTTAGTGCTGCAACGGCATCACAATACTTCTCTATACCAACATGTCAGTTTAAAATAAAAACTTACTGCTGCAACAGCATCACGATACTTCTCTATACCAACATGTCAGTTTAAAAACTAACTGCTGCAACAGCATCACGATACTTCTCTATACCAACATGTCAGTTTAAAAACTAACTGCTGCAACAGCATCACGATACTTCTATACCAACATGTCAGTTTAAAAACTAACTGCTGCAACAGCATCACGATACTTCTATACCAACATGTCAGTTTGAAAACTAACTGCTGCAACAGCATCACGATACTTCTCTATATTAACATTTTAGTCCAAAAACTTACCGCTGCGACAGCATCTCTTGTCCTGCGCCCTGACATTGTACTGAAATACACAAGAAATAGAAATCACACTTGTGAACATCTATCACACAGTCAAAGATTGTACTGATTATGTAAAATGTACAGTGATAAATTGCTTTCAATATTGAAGGGTACATTCTTTCATTTATATTAAAAAGATCAACAGCAAAGATTGAATATCTCACGTGACTCAATGCCATCATAGAACTGTATATGACCTTAGATAAGCCGATCTCATAGATAAACTGAGGTATTAACTTGGTCCTTGAAATCTGTATCAAAATGTCATGTTCTGTAGATAACCTAAAACTACGTCTCGTCATGATCATGTCATCGGAAATACAATATCAACAAGCCGTATTGAATTACGCAAGTTAATCGTGTCATTACGCCATTGGCAATAAAAAAGTGTTTAATTGTATATCTGGACTTATGTTTGTAATGTACTTAATCTTTTTTATTAATTTTAATCAAACTTTCATTCAATCCTATTTACACTGATTTTGGTGTCCCTCCGGTACTTACAACTTCCGTTTGCCCCATTCCATAAGGTCCGCTCTACCAACTCACCGTTATTTACAGCAACCACAATCATATTACTGCTATTGACTCCTTGAAACGAACCTTAGATGACAGAAATGGATACATATATCATAACTGCCATACTTTAAAGTAATATTTGTTGTAGTTTGACGATTAGATGTCAACATATTGTTTCTGTGATGGAAATAGCGAGATTGCGCAAAACCTTAACGGTGATTTGTCAAATTGTTCCATTCACGTATGGAATGATTTTGACCAGTCACCGTAGGAACTTCCCGCGCTACATGTATTTCGATTGCGAAAACGTTATGTTGACAAACTGCCTCAAATATGACTTTTAGCCAGTCATGGTATGGCATTTATGATATGTGTATCCATTCTCTTGCAACTAAAGTTTGTTTCAAGGCATCAATAGCGGTAATCTGACCGTGGTTCCTGTAAATAACGGTGAGTTGTGCGATCTACTGATCACTTCGCATATGATTTCGCTGAAATTATTGTAAACATTATCATAATTATTGAATGAAATTTTGAGTATAATTAAAAAAATAAATTGCAAACATTAGTCCAGGAAAACAATGAACATTTTTTTTATTACCAGATATAATAATAATAGGATCAAATTGCGTATTTCAGTTAGGATTTGTTGACTGGTATTTCCGGTGTTACGTGATCGCGGTGATCAGCTGATAATATTTTCTGAGATGGGGGAAAGCATCGCGTCATTGGAAAACTTGAGTTCATTGAAAATGTTAGTAAATTTGGGGAGCCATGCTTTACCGTGCGCTATAACCGAGTTAGCGCTATATTGAAGGGCGCAATAACGAGGGAACACTGTATATAGTAAAACCTGACATTAAATTAACATGATATCAGAAAATATTATTTGTAGTAAATTAGTAATTTAAGACACTACTTTTTCCGATCATTTCATCAAAATTCTTTTCCGTTATATTATTGGGTATGTTTTAACCTAATCACCAATAGATTGGGAGAACACGTGTGTTCAGCTGATTGCTATTTCCGCCTTACGAGACAATGCACATGATAATAGTAATGTTTAATAGCAAATTTCACATTTTCATTGACAAAGTTTGTTATAGCTTTGTTTATTCAACTGAAGCGATACAATGTATTTTTTTTACCAACAGAAAAAGAGTTTTGTGAAAGTGTAATCCATACATGTCACATAATGATTCACATGTCACAAACTGACTCACATATCACATACTGACTCACATGTCACATACTGACTCACATGTCACATACTGACTCACATGTTACATACTGACTGATATGTCAATACTGACATGCCACATACAGACTCACATGTCATATACTGACTCACATGTCACAAACTGACTCACATGTCACAAACTGACTCACATGTCACATACTGACTCACATGTCATATACTGACTCACATGTCACATACTGATTCACATGTCACATACTGACTCGCATAACACAAACGGACTCATGTCACAAATTAATTCACAGGTCACATACTGATTCACAGGTCACTAACTGACACACATGTCACATACTGACTCACAGGTCACATACTGATTCACATGTCACAAACTGACTCACATATCACAAACTGATTCACATGTCACATACTGACTCACATGTCACATACTGACTCATGTCACATAGTGATTCACATATCACGTACTGACTCACATGTCACATACTGACTCACAGGTCACATACTGACTCACATGTCACAAACCTGAATTCTGCTGGTACTGCAATGATGGCAAGCTGGCCAAGTCGGAGTATCTGGACGTCAACAATTGCTGGTTGCCAAGGATATGGCCAACTGATCTGTTGTAGCAATTGACACATAAAAGACAAATGTCACACAAACGAAACACTACAAAGGGAAATTTCACAAATCCTAACAATGAGGCCACAATAAAACATTGACATTTCACAACAGATGCTTACTTTGGACACCAGGCATTCTTCCGAAATTAATTTCCCGGTTGGCAGAAAACTTATTTAAACAAACTCTCTGCATATCATCTTATCCCATTTGCGTGGATCGATGCTCATGATGTCAAACAGTAGATTGTCTGGTCCAGACTCGATTATTTACAGACAACCGTCATATAGCTGGAATATTGCTGAGTGAGGCGTTAAACAACAAACAAACAAACAAATCAAATAAACTGCCTATTTGCAACAATGGCAGCATAGATTTAGGCAAGAAAAGATAACTGTTGCCATCTGTTGAACTCTTCATGTCATACATGACACTGACAGTGGGCTCACCTCGCCAGTATCCAGCAGTATTGGTTTAGGGGCATGACATGAAACTTGATCAGGAGTCGGAGTTTTGATGAAATCTCGTATCAAATTCCAAAGAGGGTTAGTTGATGTTGATCCTGCAAACAAAGTTTTTAACAGATACTAACAAAGATAGCTGAATTGGTTTTTAAGCATTTAAGTGCAGTAGTTGTATAGGTGTGCCAACATGAAGCATGAATACACATGATCCATCTTCAAACAAAGTTTCATTTCAACACAAGCTAGGTACAAAGTAGTTTCAGACAGTTTGCCTTGTTATTTTTCATGGAGCATGATGACATCGTATTTCGCTTCGGATAATATGCATTATCTTGAGGTATCTAAAAACACACCTAATTCCCCAGTGTGTCATTCAGGCACCATAGTTTAGCTGTACTCAAGGCAGTCTAATACAAGGAGCCTGGAAGCCTGCAAGCTACATTCTCTTTGAAACAAACAGCCCCAGGAGACCTGATATTGCAACTGCAACTCTTTAACTGGACTATATGCAAGAGCTGCTCACCCTGTTTAAAATCAAACATTCCCGGTCCATCGGTGGTGCCAGCGGCAAAACTGTAGCCCATGGCTGGCTTGCAGGTCTTCACCTGCAGCAACACAGGGCAAACTGTTTCTCTGACAAACACTTTCATACACTTCAAAATTGTTTCTCAATCCTGAATTAATGTCATTCATAATCCATATCTTTTCTTACAGTAACAGGGATTTACTAGATGCACATATTGCATCTTATACAGTTTAAAAGTCAGTCGATAAAATCAATAAAATCTTGAAAAATTAGATCTATTTCAAATTACAGTGTGACAACTCAGCCTGAAGGTACCTGATACCACCCACTGATACTCACAGTTGTACCATTGACTGCCACATCTACATCTGTCATATCAACATATGTGTGTCGGAAATCTACAGGGCCCGACAGCATGATGGTGGCAGCATGGTACAGCTCCTGGTGAAACATACATCAGATCACTGTCTGATCACTCATGGCTAAGTCATTAAGACACTGTTTCAGACATTTACTTTATAACCCACATAAATGCACTGCAATTTAAACACAAACTGTAAGTTAGACAGAACAGTTATTGCAAAACATAATACCATTGGATAGAGTACAACAACCAGCATAATACAATTTCTGTTCTTCCTCTTGTTTGCTTTTAGCACATCACATTCATTACACATGTAACAGTTGATCCAACTTTCAATGCAGGTCCAGGGCAATACATTGTTGACATGTGAAGGTATCAAGTTATCAATATCACTCCACATTATCCATAGTATCAACAGACCTAATACACATGATAAAAAGAAAACAGAGTTAAATATATATTTGTTCAATCTGAATTACAATTTGATCCAAAAAATTAATTTCTTGGAGAGCCAAGTGTTCATTAAAAATTAACATCTGACAATCGGAGTTATCCCCCTTAACCCCCTCATTGCTTCCAAAGCAATCTGGTGAACCTAGTTCTTGGGAGACGTGTTTTGTCATCATGTGGAATAATGCAAGGAAATCTACATTCCGGAATGTTTGTTTGTTCAGTTTTCAAAATTTTAATTGAAAACTGTATCAACATATTTTTCAAGTGTAGTCTGAAAAGGAAGTCGCCAGGTTGAAACCAGTGCCGTAAAGCTCAAGAAAGTTGTGCTTTCTAATTGGCTGATGTTGACTTCTTGTTAGTCATTTCAGTGTTCAGTCAAAATTCGCAAAAGCTCGTTCTGACATGACCCATAATGGGATGTCCTCAGATCTTTGTTTAGCGGTAGCGAGAACTTAGATCTGATTTTAATGAGATTGGTTTTTCGCAATTATGATTTTAGATATTGTGCAAAGTTTAATTGAGTAATTAATAAATAACTGTATATCGCTGTCTATAAAGCGACCCCGCCTATAAGGCGACTTCCTGTAAAAGCTTTTAAAATGCTAATTTATATACCCCGTCTATATAGTAAATCAGAATGAAGAACATCACCAGTGCATACACAATCCCTACATTTGCAATAAAAATGTATTTGTCTTCCACAGAAAACCCCCCACATTTTATCCCTACAGCAAATTCAGGTTAATAAACATGGATAAAATTACACTTGGTCAATACAAATTTGAAATTTGAGACAATACATCACTAGACATGATGATTTATCTTCTAAACTGTATTTCCTTTTCTGCTAGGCATTGACTACTGTGTGAATTGTCTCATGAACTAAGCCGAAAACAGCAATCAGCTGTACACGTTTCCAGGAATCTACCAGTGATTTGGTTAAAAATTACCCAATAATATAACTGTAAAGAATTTTGAAACGGTGATTGGAAGAATTGGATCTGAATCTACTATCTTTTCCGGAATAATATATATCGTGTCTTTTTAGTTGCAACTTTGCCATATATATTTGAAATAAATTAATAACCATAAGCGTAGAACTTTGGTACAGCTGATCGCTACTGCTGGATAGTCCAGATATACAATGAACACTTTTTATAACAAGACACTGTTGTTTGATTAATTTGTGTACTTCCGCACGGATTTGCTGACATGGTATTTCCGGTGTTAGTGCTCACAGTAATGTGTCTGTGTTGAGGGGAAAAACATCAAAACCCTTTAACCCTGTGTATAAGGTGACCCCCCTTGAAAGCCCTCTTTTTCTAGGTAAAAAAACTTGCCTTATACACAGCGATACACGGTACTACACTCGTCCCCATTTTTAACTCAACTCAAAATGATCTAATTCTCTTTCTCTCGTTAGAAACATTTAGAAATGCTCATTGTTATCAAAACGGTATCTAATGAGGACTTGTTTAGTAATCTATATTCATATCACAATATATGCAATAGATACCTGTTCGTACACCTTAATTTGCTGAAGGATTACGATGTGGTTTTTTTCACAGAGCATAACGTTTGATAAATCTATGAATAATAAACTACAATTCTAATCTTTTTTTCAAACTCTGAAACGTGCAGTGTAGATCGTGTTAGGTAGACAGAGCAAGCATGGACTGTTGTGTTGGTCATCTACCACTGGACTCCACCTTGACTAATCCGCTGATAGTCTATAATGCCTATCAATTATTTGGACACCAAAGGTAGCATTGTAGCGAGTGGTCACTGTGCTGATATATGTTTACAATCCCTATACTTATATTGCAATATGTGTACAATCCTTATACTTATATTGCAATATGTTAATACTTATGTAGCAAAATGTGTACAATCCTTATACTTATGTAGCAAAATTTTTACAATCCTTATACTTATATCGCAATATGTGTACAATCCTTATACTTATATCGCAATATGTGTACAATCCTTATACTTATGTTGCAAAATGTTTACAATCCTTATACTTATATTGCAATATGTGTACAATCCTAATACTTATATCGCAATATGTGTACAATCCTTATACTTATATCGCAATGTGTGTACAATCCTTATACTTATATCGCAATATATTTACAATACCTATACTTATATCGCAGGAGTATAGTGCTTCTAACTGTCACATTAGCCAAGTCCCCCCTCGTGTACACAGACATAGTACATCCCTGATATTATGTCCTCATCCTACCATGGCCTTGTTGTATTGATTCTCTCCGATGATCTTGGTGCTCTCGAACATATCTCGGCCAGGACCCGCTGCAATGCACAGCTCGTTCTGTGGGGGAAAATGAGAACAACAGTGATTAAATTAGGACTATTTGTGTTACAAATGACAGACTTTATAAGAAATTCAAAAGTGGTAACTACCTTGCCATGGCAGGTGCTTGTCAGTATATCACATGGCAGACCACTGTCAATGCAGTGGGGGCCTTTAGTATTAGGGGACACGTCTCCTTCATTGCTCTGCGCGAATGCAGCAACAAACGCTCCCTGAAATCACAAAAACATTACAGAAAAAGATCTAAATAAAATACAGACAGACAGAGACAGTAAGCTATGTTAAAGGGAAATAACTCTGTACTGACCTTTCCTGGTTGTGCGCCGTTGTTCATAATTTCCTCTGCCAGCTGAGAGGCGTAGCCCTTGTTGTCGCCACTGATCAGGCCATTCGTGTTGTTCATACTTGTACAGTGCACAGCAAACCAGCTAAACAGAACCAACATTGCAGGGCAAACTCAGAACAATAACATTAATAGAATATCAAATATCATTTAACAGCAAGAATGGATGCTACAGAGGAGTTCCTAGAGAACTGAGATTTGCTGACTGACCTGATCATGCCAATGTCCTTTCCTTCAGCATCCACCATCTTCAGAACAGTCATGTTCTTGTCAACATTGTACTTATACCTGCAATGGAGGGGAGAACACCAGTTACACCCAAATACATGTAGTCCACATCTCATTTCTAACTTCTGTGTAACATTATCGTAGGCATTCACTAGTCACTGGGACTAGAGGGCTAGTCGGCTCGTAGCTATGTCTGACCCAGTACATGGCAGTTGTGTCGCCAGTACTTGTCCCTGAAATGTACATGGCAGTTGTGTCGACAGTACTTGTATCTGAAATGTACATGGCAGTTGTGTCGACAGTACTTGTATCTGAAATATACATGGCAGTTGTGTCGACAGTACTTGTCCCTGAAATGTACATGGCAGTTGTGTCGCCAGTACTTGTCCCTGAAATGTACATGGCAGTTGTGTCGACAGTACTTGTATCTGAAATATACATGGCAGTTGTGTCGACAGTACTTGTATCTGAAATATACATGGCAATTGTGTCGACAGTACTTGTATCTGAAATGTACATGGCAGTTATGTCGACAGTACTTGTATCTGAAATGTACATGGCAGTTGTGTCGACAGTACTTGTATCTGAAATATACATGGCAGTTGTGTCGACAGTACTTGTATCTGAACAGTAGATGGCAGTTGTGTCAACAGTACTTGTATCTGAAATATACATGGCAGTTGTGTCGATAATACTTGTCCCTGAAATATACATGGCAGTTGTGTCGCCAGTACTTATATCTGAAATATACATAGTGGTTATGTCGACAGTACTTGTATCTGAAATATACATGGCAGTTGTGTCGACAGTACTTGTCCCTGAAATATACATGGCAGTTGTGTCGCCAGTACTTATATCTGAAATATACATAGTGGTTATGGCGACAGTACTTATATCTGAAATGTACATGGCGGTTATGGCGACAGTACTTATATCTGAAATATACATAGTGGTTATGGCGACAGTACTTATATCTGAAATATACATAGTGGTTATGGCGACAGTACTTGTATCTGAAATGTACATGGCAGTTATGTCGATAGTACTTGTCCCTGAAATATATACCAGTAGATGGCCCTTGATGTGAAAAGGCTATCGGTAATAAACTTGTCAAATAACACATTTATCAACCTGGATAAGAAAGCACCAACTGTGCAAGGGCACATGATGTGATAAACATGTTATTTGAGAGTATCTGTGTCTCACCTCTTTCTCTCTGCTTCTGGGTTGTTGGCATATGCAGCAGGACTGCGGTTGATGTTGGAGTTCAGTAGTTCCCCGCTGTTGATGAAAATGTTGCCAGGACGGACAGTGCTATGGGCCATGCGGATACTCTGCAGCATTAAGACTGAACATTGTGGTGGTAACCAAAGCAACAGTATTGGTGTTGTGTAGCTATCATATTCAACATCGTTAACACCTTGAAAAAGTGAAAAATATGAAAGTATTGTGTGTTATCTTTCTTCATCCAGTGTATTATATCCCCACTCCAGTATGACACATACCCTGGAGCCATTCACCACCAGTTCTGTTTTCAGTTCATTTCAAGTAACACACATCCTCCCAAGGCAAGGGCGTTAACAGACTTTAAAAGTCCAGTTTCAATTTCTGGGCTCGATTGTAGCACCACCAGTGTCCCTTCCATGTCCCCACTTTTAACCAATCAGATTCCACCTCTCATGTCACTTGCATTTGCTTCAAACAAAATGGCAGTGCCCAATCAAGACGACATCATTTATAGTAAAGATCTATATTGTAATAAAACAGGTTTACCTCCTGTAGTGCATCATATCACTTCAGCAACTTGATTAAAAACATGAAAAGATTTTGAAATATGCATTGACGCCAAGCTGATGGTACACATGTTCTGCAAATCCTGCAATGGAGCGAATTCGGCACGGCGGTTGCCATGTTGTTAATAACCAGATGTCAATATCGTTACGGAATGTTGATTGGACTATGCATAGACTCGTTAGTCCAGCCAAAACATAGCTCCATAATTCCAGCCTAGTTCTGCAAGGGTGAAAACTGAACTGTAAAAGTCTCTTGCATTGGGAAGATGAGTGACACAAAGCTCTAAATAGATGTTCAATCAAATTACACTGTTGCTTCATGACTAAAACAAGTGGCACTTGTACACCTTGTGGAGGCCCCCCTCACACAACTGGGAAAATCTGGTAGCATAAGGGCTTCCCATCTCACCACTGAGGAAAACATCTTTTCCACCTAAACATGCATGCTCAGTAAAATATCTACACAGCCTCTAACATGTTCAAATATTGACATGAACTTTGTTTAACGCCACACCCAGCAATATCCCAGCAATCTGACTGCGGACTGTATATATTCCAGTCTAGGCCAGACAAACCTAGTCATACCATGAGGTTTGTCCCACCATGTTGGCGTTCGATGGGTGGCTATTCGGTCCAAAAATACAAAGTTGAAATAAAGGACAAAAGTATGCAATAATAGTCACATGTTACTAATAAAGGTCAAAATACAAAACAAACTGACGCCGGTTAAGAAATACAAAGCTGACATAAAAGTCAAAAGTACACAAAATAATAGTCAAATGTTATGAAAAGATGTCATGTGGAAAGAAAGAACAATGTGTACTAAAGAACATCAGTGTGCACGAAAGGACACTATTCTGCGAAAGGACATTGACAATAACACAAATAAGGAACGCTGGATGGCGCTGCAATTTGGAAAACCTATAGACCTTAATCGGCTTTTTCCGCTGTGTTTATGATAACTGCATGCCCTGGTGCACAATGTATTACGTCATTCCTCGTGCACCCACCGTCTGACGTCACATATGTATAATGTGCACTTAAGAATTGACTTTCACTTTGTGTGAGTTGATTGGAGTATGAACCTTCATAGAGTGAGGGCCAAACAGTATGAACATATTTCTGTATAGCTGTTAAATAAACAAATTGTCCTTATATCGGTGTAGGATAATAAGTGGCGACATTTGCTGTTTTTTAACGCATAACACAATCTCGGACAACATTTAGCAGTGTCTCTTTTTCAAATCTTTTAATATTTGCAGTTACATTTACACCACACCATCAGACAGGAAGGTGAACATTTTACATCTCTGCATAATTTTATAGTCAGAGGTTGCCAGTGCCGCGCAAGCACAATTCTCACACAATGTTCACTTTTGAGATGTAATGAAAATGACAATAATACACTGTGCACCTCAGCATGCAGTTATCATAAACACAACTGAACAAGCCGATTAAACTCGGGATGTTTTACAAATTGCAGTGCCATCTGGCGTTTTTCATTGTCAACGTCCTTTAGCAGAATACATGTAGTGTCCTTTCGTGCGCACTGACATTCTTTAGTACACATTGTTCTTTCTTTTCATATGATGTCTTTTCTTTTTGCACACTTTTGACCATTATTTGAACTTTGTATTTTTTAACTGGCGTCAGTTTGTTTTGTATTTTCACCTTTATTAGTAACATTTAATACTATATTCGTAACATTTGACTATTATTGCGTACTTTGGTCCTTTATTTCAACTTTGTATTTTTTTACCGAATGGCAGCCCATACGTACAATGACACACACAAGATTAAGATCATAAAGCTGTACACTATTAACATGATTAACATTCATTACCTCAGTTAAAAGAAATACTTACATCAACAATGCCATCTACCAGAGCTACAAAGGACTGATTGACAAATCCAAGGGAGGTAATCTCAAACAACAGGTACTGGTGGAAGCCTGCGGGTCCAGAATGAGTGTGTATACCACTGATGCACAGATTCCTCTCTGTGTACAGGCTCCCATACTCACTGCGCAGCCTCTTCACAACCTGTATAGAATCAGAGGTTATACATAAACACAACCACACCACCTCCTGTTATCTGGGGTGGCTTCATCAGAAGAGAACGCATTATACTGGTTGTAAATCACAAGTTGTCCAACCTATCAAAAGGTAGGTTTGTTCAGCAGCGGCAGCCGCTAGCCATAATTAGCGGAATTTATCAAATTCTCAATAATACATGAGCATCTCTTGATCCTTACCAACATATCTATGTATAAGTGTAATAAATGCAATAAGACCCGTGAAGATCCGGTGTAGAATAGGTCTTCAGCAACCTGTGCTTGTCGTAAAAAGTCGTAAGAGGTGACTAACAGGATCGGGTGGTTGATGCATGTCATCATATCCCAATTGTGTGGATCAATGCTCATGATGTCAGTCACTGGATTGTCTGGCCCAGACTCGATTGTTTGAACAACAAACGAACAAAATGTAATAAACTGAAAATGGTTCTTCCCTTGAAATTACAGCTGTTCTTAATTTGAAAATGGACTTTGGATATAATGAACAATTTCTAAATTTATTTTAGTATTGAAGATTACACTTTTCATCGCAGAATAATTTGGGTAAAATAATTTGTGTAGCTCATGGAATATTCTTGAATATGATAACATTTCCCTGCTACATTTATAACACATAAATGGGTCATATACATATCCAATTCAGTTTCTTTCAATGTTAAATGAATAGTGTCTATCATACAAATCCCTATGTACCCAAGATGCTGATGCAGGAAATATCATTTAATTTTCATTAAACACTGACTGATTAAGATGAGAAATTGAGATGTTTATTTATTATTGATAAGGTGATTACTTCTACCACCAGACATGCTAGACCTTACTTAATGATTGGAAGTATCCTAAAAAGAACAGGCTGAAGTCTTACCCCAAAATGTACCCATATATTGAAAAGTCACATAAGTAAACTTAAGGGAGTAGCCTATTTTCCTCAGGTCAAACCTGTCCTTGACAGCCATAAATCAGGAGTGAGTTTCCCTGTCTGTATGAACTCTGCCTTCCAATGCTCTGTTAAGTGTTCAACTATATCTATCCCCATGCCAGGGATTTATCTGGGTGTTCTTGGAGGACAATGCTCGGCCTCAAATTTAAACATTTAGAATTTATTATTTTTACTAATATATTAATTTCTTAAAAAATGACACAAGGTTCGCGGACCCAATAAAGAGAGAGAGAGAGAGAACTTCCAGCTTAGTTTGGCAATGAACATGATGACCATGAACAGAGTGCAAAAACTGAATTTAAGGAAAATACAGAATTTCAAAAGATTTTCTTTTTGAAACAAAATACCACTTCGAACAAGTGCATGTCAAGTACTTAACTGTATCCTATGACATAGATCTATAAACAAGATTGGCAATTGAAGATAATATTAAATTACAATTAATTTTCAAAATATTAAATCTTATTCTTAATCATGTTATTTAGACAAATTAACATAAAAATACAGTAATGAAAATCGTTTAACATTATACAATGCTTACTGGATTTTAGGACATCCTATTTGTTTGATAGCATGGAGGAGTGTTTCTTATGTCTGTATCAACCAGGAGAATCTGGGGTAATGTACTTCCGTTTCAGTACAAAAGTCTATAATCAGGATAATGTGAACTTCTAAAGTCTGAAGAATAGTTTACAACAAAAATTTGCCAAAGAAATACACAGACACAAGTATTTCATATATGTAGCGCCTTTTATCATGTTTATTATTTATTAGTTTGTTTAAAAAATGTTTACCCTAAAATACAATGTAGCTAAAGAAAAACAACAACACAATTTTGAACTAAAAGATTAGTCCTGATACTAATGAACGAAAATAGTAGGTCACACCAGTTCCAATTTCAGGGTGTCTTTGTCAGTGAGTCTTGTAAACCAGTTAATCATGTCACACACATGGGACACCCATGAGGGCTGGAATGATGAAGGCCTACTAAACGATCAAGATCAAAATCAATTTGGTGACATAATTTATATATATTTGCTTCTCATAGGCAAGTAAATAATCACAACAAACAAGCATGTCTCTACCCCTCATACAAGCTCAAGCTCCAAGCAGAGTCAATGCCACAACATAGTTGGGTATCTGGGAGTGGGAGACATATATTATCTGTGGGGGCAAGTCAATGACAAGCAGATAACGTGTTCAGTGTTTCCACTGATAACAGTCTCGGCGCTTTTTGTATAGAATATATGACAAGCAGGACTGATGTGCTAACTGTACACATCAGGAGTCAGTGAACTTTCATCAATCTCAAAGAGAGATGGTTTTACACTGTGAGGTGCTGAGTGAGTGAGTGAGTTTGGTTTTACGCTGCTTCCAGTTGTTTGATGGCGTGCTAATGTGGGAGGAAAGACCAAAGTGATACAGGTCTCAGATGTCTATCACTTTGGTGAAATTCAAGAGCACAAGTACAGTGCTGACAAACCAAGGAATCTAATCGGAATTCAAACCCACAATGATAGGTTTCTGGAGTGCCCAACAAACTGTGGCACCTTAGATGACTTGGACATGGGGAGCATGACAAACAATGCACTAGCTGCCTTGATAGAACCTCCATGGATAGAACCTCCTTGACTACATGCTGACAATCCTGAATGGCAATGATGCCAATTAGCACTTGTGAAAAAGCTCTGTCAAATGTCTTTCTTCTTTTTTAAACATTTATATCAATAAAAAGAAAAGAGCTCCACTGTCCTGATTGAAACTGCTAATATTTCTAATATAACATGAATTATTGAGGTTTCTTCCAAGAAATTCAGCCAACCTTGGTTATGATGAAGCATATCATTAGCAGCTATTCACATTTATTTGAAAAAAAACCAACAAGAATCAGCATCTGACGTGTCTTGATATACAACTGTTCATTTAGTGTGTCACCATGGACTTTAAATAGCCAATTTTACCAACACATATCAGGATTTTCCCGAAGCAAATAAACTACTTTTTTGACAGCAAACATGTCAAATGCTACTGATAAACACTGCCAATTCCACAGAATTACTATCTTACCTCTAGTTTGACATCTTCAGAGACCATGCAAGAATCTGTGCTCACAAATACAGTCCGAGTCTTGTTGCCACTGTCAGCAAACACAAACGCTCGACTATACTGGCGCAGATGGATGCCATTGCTTGTTTGTGAAGGATTGGCATAACCCATCTGTAGAGATTAAAATAAAAATGTTTTTGAATTATAAATATAATGGCCAACCTTAAGCAAGCATATTATTGAAGTTATATTGATGCAGTGATTCTATCATCATGATAGTTTCTACTGTTGAAACAAATATGTACACACAGTCAAACGTGTCCCAGATATAATGAAATTGTCAAAATTCTTTGCCTTTTATCATTCTTTAAACCCTGCCAGCAACCATAAAAATCCTTTGGATTTATATATTGGGTGAAGGCTAAAACGGCACCTCGGCAAAACATCACCGATTTCTCTGGCGAAAACGACATCGCATTTAGCGAAAATGGCTGCTATAAGTCGGGTGAAAACGGCACCTCTATTTTTAATAACGATACGAATGATTTATGTAGTAGTATATATGATTTATTTACATGTTATTTGATGCATTTACATGTTTTTTCCTGTTTTAATATAGTTACTTGTCACGGTCATCTTCGTCTTTTAAGAGTACATCTGAAGCTGTAATGTGGATTTCCAATAGGTCTGGTACTCTCATTACTTCTGCATCTTCTGATTGAAAACTGACATCAAAGTTACTGATCACCCTTCTCTGACGGGATCTACGCATCTCAAACAGCAGAAAGGAAAGTCTTCTTCAGTCCGGCTAATTTCTCTATAATGGGCTACAGAAAGTCTGGTACCACATATACGATGGGTCCACTGGTCGATCCACTGATACAGGATGTTGATTTTTTCTTACATTCTTCTCACATGCAACACATTGAAAGGCCATTGTGAATAATTGCGAACTGACAGCACCATGTTAGGCCTCTTGAAATTGAGTTAAATTGAGTAAAGGTACTTAAAACTTCAAAGCATATAATGTTTCCACAATAAGTTAGTTGCACCTCCCAATCAGAGTCGGTGAGTAAATTGGAGTAGGTGGCTAATTTCTAATGTAAACTTGTTTTAACATTTCACAATTATTGGTGTTTGCAAGTGACCATGTAAGTTTAATTTAAAAAAAAAGATAAGGTGCCGTTTTCGCCAGGCAATAGTGTCTTTTTCGCAAGGTGACCTTTTGCTGAGGTGCTGTTTTAGCTATAACCCTATACAATGCATAAAAATGCAATGTCTCTCAGCTGTAACATACACTAATGTTGCTGTTTTGGGCTTATTAACAATTTACACACTTGGGGCACATGAACAAAGGCTATAATGTATATTTTATTCCAAAAGATATAACAAAATAGGGTTATTGATTTGTATCTTGATTCTACCAAGCACTGGACCATACAACTAATATTCTATACTAACAAACTGTCAGGCAAGTTTGTTAGCATAGAATATTAGACTATCAGTTACATGACCCCATGAACCAAGTTACACTATGTCTATGTTCATGCCATGGTAAAAATAAAAATTGCTGTAATGTTGATAAAGAGAGCAGTACCATGTTCACTTCAGCAGCTGGTCCGGTGATGTCACCGATCCCTGTCCCGATAAGGAAGTTAGTGGCGTCATTTCCATTAGAACTTGGAGAAACTAGACCCCAAACACTACAGCATATAGAGAGCACATAAACACACCTCTTCCAAGGATCAGCCGCCATTTTGAACTAGGGGCGACATGTGATTCGTGTCACGTGATAAGTTTGGTTTCTGGAATTATCTGTAAAGGGGGGGAGGGCTGTGCTGTTTTCTAATTTTCTTTACCCCTCACTGAATCAAGAAAAATAATCATACATTCTTTTCATGTGGGATATTTTACTTCAAGGCATCGTGATATTGTATGACTTCGTCGCCTTTAACATATGTAGGCTATACTTTTCGACACAATGAAATGTCAATAAAGATCCCCGTAATAATAATAGGTTAGTTCATTTGATACCATACAAATTTCCCCATGTGGAGATGCTACTTTCCAAACACTAGTTACGTTGTTAACGTCCCTCGAGCTTCTGACGAAGAGACAGACACGTCGATAAAGAGCACTGGATGGGGTGAAGTTGGGGTGTCGTTAGATATAGCTCCGGCATACTTGTGTGATCTGGTAGCAGCTGGTGCCTGGAATTATATCATACCAAGTCTGTCTTCCCTTCAAAAATTATACGTTAAATTAAAATATATTCATCTATTCTGACTCTACGTCACTATCTTTAGACCATTTTTGTGGCATCACTCTCACCAAGTTTTACTTCCTTTGTATATCAGGTCGCACTTTGAATGCAACACACATCTTGAAATCTTGAAAATCTTTATTACAAGAGCACAACACTTACCTGAAACACCAATGTCGATATCATATTTCAATCACGACTGAAAACTCTAATAAATAAGATTAAACATACTTCTATCAGCAAAAGAACGCTTTCAAAACTGCTAAAAAAATTGTTTAATCATAAAAACAAAACAATTATAATATATCTATAGACATTAAATCAGATGTCCAAGGCATGTAGAAATAACATGATATGTGTATAACAGTGTTGAAGTCCTGCTCAGTAATACCTGTGCACACAGCAGCTGTGGGGAGATATTACTTCACATCGTACATATACCGGTGCTTCATCCTTTAGCAACTGCTCATAACTATAAATAACAATTAGTGTACGCTTGAAAAAGACGACGATTAATGTTCTGGTCTACTGGCCACCTTTATAGGTGCAGGTGTCAAATATTAATGTGTAAATATTGCCTATCATTAACGGCCTCTGCTGTCAACATTTAATTAACATAAGCATAAAGTCACCTAGTTGATCATGGGCATATAACATATATCGCCCATATTATAGATTTTTACAACACGTCGATGATTATAATTGACACAATTGCAATGGTATTGATGATAATGATGACGGTAATAAAAGTCATTCATTTACTGTGTCAAGAATATGCTTTATTGACTTTTAATTGTCCCATCTTACAATGAAACGCCAGAAGCATTTGTCACCTGTTAAGATCTAGGAAGTTGTTCTGAATATGTTATATGAGAATGTGTACGGGAACTCCCTTGGAGCCTTAAAATGAAGGTGTGTTTGGCAATAGTTTTTTGAAATAGTACGCTATGGCAGTATGTATATTTATACACAAGAGGTGTAAAAAATAAAGGAAATACATAAAATAGTTCTTTTATATATATTTAGTTTGTAATGTTTAAAAAAATGGATTGTTGTACACACCGAAATATGCTGTCACCCCTATCTGGGAAATAAACTGGCCCAAGAAATTCCGACAAGGGGAACCCTGCTTGCTCGAAATTTGATATGGCTGTTCTAACCTCGAATTCGCCTGTGGGGGTTACATCCGGAGTGTGTACCATTCTCGAAGCACGTAGGCTCCTCCTCAGCAACGTGTACCAAGGTCTTGGGACGCTGGCACTCGCAGAAAACCATTTTTGAGATAAACCTCTCTGCGATCAGCTGATATTTGTAATAGAAGCGCAATATTTTACAAACACTTCCTTCAATCTTCGACAAGTTGTACCAGTGTGGAATTGGAAGTATAAGATTCAGATCATCTCAAGATGCAGGGCTCGTTCTCAGAGATTGTTCTCAGTTTTCTGTTGATTGCTTGCGTGGCAAATGTTGGAAGATGCGAACTCTTTACTTCCATGGCGCATCTCCAAACTGCACTTTACGCTGAAAGAGACATTGCTGTCACCCTTAAAAACTACGTGGAGAATGAAGAGGAGCGACTTCGAAAAATTAAAAGGTATGTTGTTCATAATATGGTATTTGTACCATTTTGACACGTGTTTGTTTACACATTTTGCACGTGTTTTGTTTACACATCTTTACTGATGATCTTCTACTATTCCGGATATATGCATAATATAAAACAGATAACATTTTTCAAAACAACTTGACAGCTTGATTCTCAGTCATCCCATGTGACTGCCAAGTTTTAGTACAGATTGTACATATGTCCTCAAATCAGTGATAAAACAGTCGTAAAATCGTATTGGGAATAATTAGTGTCTATGATATAACTTAGATTCTTAATGGTTTGTCACCAGGGCACCTTCCCACAGGTCCAGACGTTCCTATGCACCATACCTGGACTATCTGCATTGTGTCATTCTAATTTATGTCTCCCATAGCAAGTCTGAATTGAAATCAGTATTGAGGACAAGACATTTTCTGAATGAACTTTTCTTTATTTGTTTAGACAGAAATTGTTAGAGACTAAATGTTAGTTGATTTAAGTAGAAATGTCATCAGTTAAAAAAGAGTGTATTGAAAAATTCAGTAACCTCATCACAGCTTTATATTCTTACCATGTCCAATCTCATTAAAATCAGATCTTAGTTCTCGCTATCGCTAAACAAAGATCTGAGGACATCCCATTACGGGTCACGTCAGAACGACCTTTCATCCCACCAATCAAAGCATCACTTACCAGATCATGAAATGACAGTCAGAATGTGTTTTCTGATCATGCAACCTCGAAAACGTTAACACATGGTATTCCGAACGACAGTTACAACCCGTACGACTGATTCTGTCAAAATTATCGTCTATCTCTTGCTTCATTGGGATAAACATTTGAACGGAGGAGGCGTTGAACAGTATGTGGGAAGCACTGCTATACAATCTCAACCATATATTAAACATTCCGGAATGTTGGTTTGTTCAGTTTTCAAGATTTTAATCGAGAACTGTGTCAACATATTTCTCAAGCGTAGTCTGAAATGGAAGTCGCCAGGTTGAAATGAGTGCTGTAAGGCTTGAGAAAGCTGCTTTCTAATTGGCTGATGTCGGCTTCTTGTTAGTCATTTCAGTGGTCGGTCAAAGTTTGCAAAAGGTCGTTCTGACGTGACCCGTAAGGGATGTCCTCAGAGCTTTGTTTAGCGGTAGCGAGAACTCGGATATGATTTTAATGAGATTGTACCATGTCAAAATATTGCCTACATGTTATGGGTGCTAGAGGACTTTTTGTCTCATATAGCATATGTCCCTGTGACGGCGTGGATCGTTGCTCACAGCCTCGTTCACTGGATTGTCAGGTCCAGATTCGAATATTGACAGGCTGTCATTTAGATGGAATATTGCTGCGTGCGGCATTAAAACAACAAACAAATTATGACTTTCACTATTACCAAGGAATTGTAGTCAAAACAGACTTATATCAAAACAGCCGTAAAGCACAAGACGTCAAAATGGCTCCTCCCCCAGACAACAGAAACGTCTGAATGGCTTTGATAATAATAAATGATCGTCCAGTGTGAGTAGGATGTGTATAGAGTATATATGTTAGGGGCTGTTATTACAATGTAAAATCTCTTTCAGTTCTCTTGTTGTTTTAACCAATCTCTACAAATTACTTAGGCCTCTTATCAGTCTGTTTGAAAACATGAATAAACTTTGATCCTAATGAGTAAACCTTTCATTGTTTTTATTTCAAACTATTCCATGCGTGAGTAGTAAAACTTGGGTGTCAACTTTATACATATAAATGATCTTATTCCTTGTTATATGTACAATGTATATTGTACGATTAATGTGACACAATAACTTAGTTTGTCATCTTTGTTTTGTTGTTGTGGCCATTATTCCAATTTAGAGACTTTGAACTCAGCCGTTAAGTATGTACTCATCGATAAAAGAAACCTGAATACCATACATGTTGGTTAATATTTGAAGAATTACTGATATTCAAGAGATATTAGATTGGTTTGATGCAGAAACAAACAAACTCTTATGTTCTGTGAACCGACGCTCATGAACGCCTCACATGTGACATCATAGATCCATGACTCAATTCAGTTTATTCGTTTATAACTAACTGTAAGGCCACAGGCCCATAGTACAGAATACATGACAATGTGGAAGCTGTTGAAAATGTTACAAGGATTCATTTCTTAATCATGTTAATAACATGGCATGATATATAAATAGAGATATATTTTGTATAGCTGTTTTGCTCACATGTGTTATTAAAGAGATAATCTTGTATTTAAGTGGATGTACATAGTGTTTTTGTTCAATATTCTTTTCCTTAAATTATCATATTTACAACATTCAAGTAAAAGAGATTTGAGATGCACCAACTGTCTTGTGCAGCATTAGCGTGTAAAGTTTGGAAATCACATGCAGCATATTGTGATAAGAATAAAGACACTGAAGTAACTATGGTTCATGTTTCTTTTGGGGATGAGTATACATCAGGGGCCCCAGATCACATGCTTCCCTGAATTCCGAGCATTTTAACTGAATGCCCATGACAGGCGCATTTGTTTCTTTTAAAATTCAGCATGTTAATTGATATTTTCAATGCAGTAATCATGGTAATGTTAAACTAAATATTAAATTAATTAAGCCAATTTTATGAATTGGAATATTTTTTTCAATTTGCTGTAGTCTTCGGCAAGAGTATTGTCATCTGAAGAACCTTGATAAACCCCTGCCATGCCAGCCCCACAGACTACAAGTATATGCATGGGGACAGCTAAGAAAGCAGATGTTATATCACCAAGCCTTTGATGGGCTTGATGTGTCAGGGAACTTCTCTGACGTAATACTGTGTAATCGTCTCTCAAGTGTATCTCTTCAGTTTGAAGTGTATGACACGTAAGCAGCAGCCAGAACTTGAGCAAGTGGTGTACAAGACCAAGAAGGTGTCATGCTGTGCTGTGCACTGTATCATGCTCTATAGTTACAATATACGGGATATGATGAATATCATAGAACACTCTCATCCTTGCTCCTGGAACAACAAAGTGTTTTTTTGCATTTTGTAAAAGTATGTATGGCCATAAAAAGTACATATTTGAAACATTATAGGGCATACATTCATATATTGTTCTTCATAATGATCTTCATTGTTAGTTGTATCATTATGTGATGCTTGGAATGTGTTAGTCCTCCACTGTGAGGCTTATGAACTATATTAAATGGAGATACAGCATTGGTTTAGCTCGGACTCCACTAGTTCTAGTTGACGGTTACAGATTGACTTTATGTATTGTACGTATATATTCAACATGAACATGTTTTTCTTGTCACAATATGTAATTTTTTTGTTTTGTCTGAGCGGTATTTATATGAGCAAATGTTTTGCTTGTTTACCAATCCAGATTTCATTTATGAAATAAAAATATGTTTAAACCACTCAAAAGCCTGATTCTAATCATTGCTAATGTTGACCGAATCAGGGAGTGTACATCAATGCCCATAAGAATGATTGAGACACCTTGGGTAAATTCATTGTGTTTAGATCATACATGCAGAATGTGTGTTGAGGAAGGCACTTCCATCCAGCATCAGGGAGAGAGAGGCCTTTGTCTGAACACTTCCCGTGACTGTTAGGATATATCTAATATGATTGTTGTGGTATGTTCCCATGAGAATGTTGTACAGTTACTTTATATAGTGGATGGGTAAGGTTGTATGTAGATATTCAATGAATAAACCCTGCATGTAAAACAGTTAACACGTACATATTAGTTTCTTTAGCTGGTGCTTGTTTTCTAATCAACAATATTTTGGATGCTGAGACAGTGGACCAGGAATGTTTTTTTTAATATAATTTCTGAACCCTTAAACCATCCTATTTTTGGAATAACTTCCACTGAAGAAACAAGTCCATATTAAAGTTGAATCCCATTGTCTCTGCATGGCTTCTGGCACTGTGTGTTTCAGGACATTTGGAAGTCACTGGCGTCACAAAATAATCTAGTTTCTTTTATAACAGCTGTGATGTACCATTATTGACCAGAATGATCATTAATCACCAAAGAAAACTGCTGCTCAATCACTGCAGATGAGGTTGTCCTTGTGCAGGATGGTGTGGCAACACAAGAGCATCAGGGGCTCAAACAACACAGCCTCGTCCATGTCTTCAGGTTCAAAAACAAATTTCAATCTTTTGACAGTTAAGAAGTGATAGCTGACACTTGTGACAGGACATCAACCATTAAGCCAGGACACAGTACTACATGCTCGTCAGATGCGGTCAGGTGGTTAGGACAGAAATGATTGTGAGGATCATGTAACAGTAGACCTAGGTTTGATATGTTATTTGAAAGCAAATAGAGGATACTAGTTAAAAATTATATTGTGCAAACCTATGGTGAGCATAATACATATTTGTTGTTCCTAACATGATATTTACGATATGGAAACACATGAGGATAATACTCTCTCTATCGTATCCTTAATATATTCAATGATTAAGACTTACTTTCACTCAATGAAGTTATTTGAGAATCTGTGTAGGAATACAATGTTTAAGTGAATTGTTCCATTTATCAAATAGTGCCAAATGTTTGGCTACAGAAACACCTACTTGGAAACATCAGACAAACGTTTACATGTGTACTGATCAAGCAGACATTGCTTTGATGTTTGGGGCTTGAATGTAGTTCCTGCTGGATGAACTCATTTGCATAATTATCAGATCATGTTTATCAGATTGGTTTATCATAACAATAACACTGTCCATATGATAAAATATATCCAATTTTAAGGATAGCAACCATTTGGAAAATGATATGTAAGAGTGAACAGGTGGCAGTCACATATACTACACAAAGGAAGTTAAAGAACACTTGATTCTTTCATATTACTGTAGTTAATCTGTTCTGGCACAGTAGTATGAAAGGTTTGGGTGGTCCTTCGAATCTTCTGAGTAGTATATGAAAGTGAGGAGAGAAACGTGAAAAGTCTGTCCTGCAACAGTAATTGCACATTGACCTACTTTTAGGTATCTCA